AAACAAAATCTGCAGTTCATTGTTTATTAAATTTATTTAAAAGAAGAAAACATATATTTCACAAAATACAATACCTACATATGAAAAATAAAATGTCAAAAATGATTAAATCATTATACTTAATATTTATGCATGTGATAAAATTCTTAGTTTCCTAGTAACTTTTTTGGCACATTTTATACCTGCATTAGAATATCTAAGTGTGTAAAAATCTTTATCTTATTACTACACAAAACAAACACCAAAAAATATCACTTAACATTGCTCACGTACTAAACACAACTTGGACTGACTTTGACAGATAACATCATTTTGAGTGATACACAACTTATTTTCGCACATGCGCGTTACAAAACGGTACACTAAAAATACCAAGCTGTCGCTTCTCCTTGATCGTTATTCTCGGGTCAAACGTTTTTTTAACTCCGTGAAAACATTTTGACAATCTGGCGTCCAGTCAAATGGACTACTGTTTTCAGTTAGTCGATGAAGGGGTTTAGCAATTTGCCCAAAGTCTTTGACGAATTTTCGATATGAGCACAGTCCAAGAAAACTTCTAACTTTCCTTTTGTCTCTTGGTTTCGCCCAATCTCTGACAGCTGCAATTTTCTCCATGTCAGTTTTGATTCCTTCTGCGAAAACGATGTGTCCCAAATAATAGGCTTCCGACTGGAACAGTGAACATTTATTATGATGAAGCCTTAGATTGGCATTTCTTAATCTGTCAAATACTTCACTCAAATTTAAGCTATATTCGGGCGATCGACTAGTTTAAATATATTTCATGCGGTTTGAAAACGGTTTGTACTATTCTCATTCGAGTAACCAAACAATGACGTCACGTTAAATTAGGTTTAAACCAGTTGCATCTGTTTTTGAAACGTTTCATTACGAACGGTTCAAGGAAATACAAATGTCATTAATGTCAAAAATAGTATCGAACATCATAGAGCAGAGCACACATAATCAAATAAATGATAAAAAAATAGTATATTATGCAACGATCATGTAATGATGGTTATTAATACACGAGCATTAACCGGGATACGAAACGAGCCAAAGGCGAGTTTCGTATGGTTTATGCGAGTGTTTTAATAACCATTACATGAGAGTTGCATACGCTATTTTTTCTACACCCGATAAATAATCAAGACCTATAAATATTCTATTTATATTGGTATTGAACACAATAACAGTAATTACTCGTATTTCTATAAAAAATTCTACAAAATTGTAATTAATGGTATTACCTTGGGTACTGGTATTACCACAGATTTTTGGGGCAAAATATTTTGTACTGCATTTTCTCCTTTCTCCTATATGTGTGGAGGAGTGTTCTATATCGCTGATATCAGACATTTTAATATTATAATTATCGAAGTTTAGCTATCTACGAAAATTTAATACGTTTTGACAACTAAAACAATTACATAGGAATTTAGGACAAACGTCAAACATCATGCTTGATTGAAAAATTGTAGGTTTCTATTGATTAAAAATCTGTATCATAATGAAAAATCTGTATCATAATGGGTATCATTATGAAACGGATTATGGGCATATAAGTGCATTATTATAATACGGGTGTAGAAAAATGATTTTTTATGGTTATAAGAAAAATTAGAAAATGCATAATTATGAAGGTTAATAATTTATGAAAACTTGATCCTGTAATTCTAAGTTGGATTGTAAATAACGATCTACTTTGCATAAAACTCTGGTAATATTATAAATATGAGCTTCTCTTTGACATAGGCAAAATATTATCTGTAGCTAGAGATTTACAAACTCACAAATCGTTAACTGTCAGTGACATCACTGTTTTAAAATCAACTATTTGGGGGCTTTCAAAATCTATGACATAGTATTAAAACTGGTTCGAAAAGTTGTTAAAAATATTTTTAAACCAAAGAGACCGCTCGAATATGGCTTTAGTAGATGTTCATCAAAAGTTTTTGACATTATCATTATGTTATCGACTTGTATAATTGTATATTTGCACGCCCTATTTAATTTTTTTTTTCGCACACAAGTTGTAATGCTACAACTTTATGTGAATTAACGTTTATTTACTTCAGTGATTATGGTATTGTAAAAAAAAATATGTTTTTTTGAGTAAATAAACTATATTATTGTATTATTATTACATATACTAGACAAGTTTTCCAGGTTAATCCTTTTAGAACAATTTCCATTAGACGTTCAAAGGTAGCCGGGGCATTACAGGGACCAAACGGGAGAACCTAGAATCTGTATAATCCGCTGCCAGTTGAAAAAGCAGTTTTGTCTCGATCTTCAGGATGTACTTCCACTTGTCAGTGTCCGCTTTTCAAGTCTAGCGTAGAAAACCATTTTGCACCTGATAGAGTGTTTAGTGTGTCGTCTATTCGGGGGAGTGGATAGCTGTCTTTCTGCATTATCTGATTTAATCTTCTATAGTCTACATAGAAACGAGTAGATTCATCTTTATTAGTTACAAGAACCACAGGTGAGCACCAGGGGCCAGAAGCTTCTTCAATAATATTTGCATCCATCATGTCCTGTACCATATTTGCCACTTCTTTCTGTTTAGCAAACGGGAGTCTTCTTGGCGCTTGCCGTATGGGCCTTGCATTGCCTGTATAAATTCTATGCTGGACAAGACTGGTACGCCCCGTTGATTTTCCTGTCTCGAAAATGTAACAGTTGGTATTGATAAATTCTTTTACTTGGGCGTTTTCTAATATTCATCGATGTCATCTAGCTTTCATCAAAATCGTTCTTTTATCCATCAAACATTTTCTAATTCTCTAATTCTCAGATGGTTTTCACCAAATCCATCGACTCGATTGTGTTGATGCACTAATGGATCACGTGACAACCTTAAATTTTTAATTATTATTAAACAGATAAGAAAATAGGAAAAATTCGTCCCAAATTCTTAATAATATGAGTGAACAAACTAATTGCGTTTCATTAACCCAGTCTCAAGTGGGTGAACTTTTAAAATAAGATTGTCAGCATTATATATACACCAAGCATATTTTTTCAATTATTGTATTACCCATACTTGTTTTTAGCTTTTATGCTTATCAGAAAGTGCTCAGATTTATTTGTTTTTATTAAATAAAGACAGTTTGACAGTTAAGATTATAAAATCTCAAATGTCAGTCGTTATTAGAGTTGTTTTTTAGCCACCACATTGGTTTAAAATATTTTTTAAACCATATTTAAAGTGACGTCATGAATTAATAGATGGCAAAAATAGGGTGTTTTAAAAATATAATCTGCTGTCATATGACAAAATTTTTTTGATCGTATTTTTTTTTAATGATTGTTAAATCAGATGAAGGAAGATAAGTGTTTGATAGCGATTTTAAGTAAAAATTGAAGTTTTTTTAATAGGTACATTGGAATCTGAAACGTTATTATTTTATTTTTGGTATTTTTCTTGTCAATAAACATATGGTATCATATTTATTCCGTAGTTCCACAGATACGCGATTGTCTAACGATTATTTGCTGTAGATTTGTTGGGCTTTTCCAAAGTTCATCAACTGCCAAAGAACGTTTAATTGCTTTTAAATATTTGCTGGCAAATTCAGAATCTGAAGCAAACTACGTAATTATTTTTGTAAAAAACGTACAATTGATAAGTAATCCTTTAACCTTACTTTAATTGAATTATTGTTTCATAATCAAGAGTAACCCATAGGTAGATCACATTGTCCAACTGTTTATGATGACCATAAATATTAATATTTGTATTAAAACATTATAACCAATTAATGTATGAATATGAATCACATCTTAGATAATATAATAGCAGATAGGCCACCACTGCATAAAGTATACAATATTAATGTCGCTATCTTACTTACTCTGAGAATCACATAATATATGCATGAAGTTATCAAAAATCAATAAAAATCAACAAAACGTCAAATATATCAAAATGTTCAAAGATGGAACAGAGCAAAACAACATACAACAGCTACAATCAGAATCTCTTATGTGTCAACCGTTATTGAACCATATGCCTCCGACTGGTTCAAAAATTCTAGCTTTGGTTTAAAATATTTCGTACGCGACGTCATAGTTGCATCACTAAAATTTAAACGGTTTAAAACAGTCGAAAATATTTTAAACCATACACTCGCTAAAAAATACCTTAGGTAATTTTCATCAGATAAAAATCAGGATTGCACCAGTCAGCAATTTATTGGTCACGTGATCCATCATCAGTCCATCATTTTGTTGAATATTAGAAAACGCCCTTAACGATTATTTTTGTCAACTAAATTTGTCACTCAGATGTAGGTGTCAAATATTTTTTTATTTGGTATATTTATTTTCTGTATTGATTACATATATTTTATTTATTAATGAAAATCTCAGCCGCATATTCAACATGAATGTAATGTTACAAAGACATGCCGCCAAATGCATTTACGTAATTCCAGATGGTCTAAAGGAACTAATGTCCGACATATCCAGAGAAGTCTTAAGAACGCAACCTCAAAACATGTACGTTTTTATTGCTGATTATTTGGAAGCACTTCTTCTAACTAGAGAAAATGCTCGCGTAGCGGCAAGGCTAGTTCAGAGCATTACAGAAATAGCTGAAGCTACAATGGAATTCTTAACAAAAACTGAGTTAGACAAAACTCAAGTAGATAGAGTAATAAGCGTAATGCAGGATAATTTTAAGAAAAAAGTTAAAGAAGATAGGAGAAGCTATCTACGCGAACCACAAAGTGAAGAAATCGAAGAAGCCAACATAATAACCGATATACTACATCAGGCTAGTATAGGAGAAAATCTGGCAGAGGAAGCAGCTGGAATAATCCAAAATGCATTTAAAAAATTTAAACACAGGAAAGAGACTGAAAAGCAACTACTTACTGGAATGATAGATTGGAGAATTGCTGCCAGAAGTGCAATAAAACTGTACAGACAAACGGGAGTGACTAACGAAGAAGCTACCAGAGCCGCAAATTTAATAAAAGCAGCTTATAAAGGATATTACACCCGTAGAATTATGACAACACTTACAGAAGAGCAGAAAATACTTCATCCCGACATAAGTGAGCCAGAAGAAGAAGGAGGTGATTCTGACTATAGACAAGCAACAAAAGAAGACTCTAAGGCGGTTACAATCGACTATGATTCTGTTATACCTCACGTTGATTTTGGCGATGTTACAGATGTAGAATGCACATCAGTCGTCATTGCATTTACTTTAGACAAAATTATGGACGGGGTTATGAAGAAAGTTGTACGTTCCGAAAAACGATCAAAAGAATCCAAAGCGAAAAAGGAAAAAGTCAAGTCTAAAAAAACGCAAGATGACAAAAAGGTCGCAGCGAGTGTGAAACAAAAACAAAAACAACTAGCAGAAACTGCTGATGACCAACTTGATAAGCGTTCCATTAGAAAATCCTCGACATATTCACAAGGTTCTCAAAAATCAACTATATCCAAAAAAGTTTCAATAGTTGCTCGAGACGCTGAAAAACGATCTATTCGTTCAGTATGTAGCGATCGATCGGATCGTAGTGATAAATTTGGCCATTCGCAAGTATCAGAACCTGACAGTTTCGGCGCGAGTGAGATTACAGGACGTGCTAGTTACGCTTCACAACATAGTAGTCGTGCTTCAGCACACGTCAGTTATGCTTCATCCCGAAACAGCGAAGATAGTTATGCATCAAAATGCAGTTTCGAATCACAAGCATCACAAAGGGGCAGTATTGTACCAGGCCGGGGAAGTATTATGGGGCGGGGAAGCATTGTATCGGGACGGGGAAGCATTGTTTCGGGAAAGGGAAGCATTGTATCGGGAAAAGAAAGCATTGCATCGGGAAGGGGAAGCATTGTATCGGGACAGGAAAGCATTGTATCGGGTCGGGCAAGCAATGTTTCAGGGCGGGAAAGTAATGTATCAGGACATGGTGGCCATATATCAGGAAGCGGCAAGAAAGTTCCTAAGGATCTTTTAATATGATGAAAAATTAATTCAGTAAAAACCGAATACTTTTTGTTTCAAATAAGCATTACTTATTTTTTTTTAAATATTTGTGTAAAAAATAAATAAATGACTGCAGTTTGTTTTGTATTTTTAAAGCTACATAAGAAAAACAAGTTTAGTATCTGTATATATAGTTGAATAGCTGGATATTTTCTCATGCCTAATCAATAGTCCACCGGAATTAGAGACTAAGATAACAATGAAGGTTTTGACTGTTTTTGACAAAATTTCACTATGCGCCGAGATGAGAATAATCGGAAGAAGGTTTATTATATAAACATATAAATGAAGGGTGTCCGGTTCAAATAGGCTACGTGCCAAAATTAAAAAGCCGAGATATTTTTAAAAAACAATTTTCTTTCAGGCCGTTTTGCAAAAGGTGCTATATACATTAGTTTAACTTTGATATTTTATCAGAACATACTAAAATATCATTTTAATTCAATTACCCATAAATATATTTCTTTAAATTTTCCGAAATTTTCATAAAGGGGAAAAAACATTTTAGAAACATGTTAAGTGCCACATACGAAAAAAGTTAAATAAATAAAATAAAAGACTAAACTCATTCAAACTAAAGATAACCCTTTATTTAACATCAAAATAACAAAAAAGTAAACATGTTATAATATTTAAACTTATTTTAATAGCAAATTTCGATAGAATTCCCTATGTTGTTCTTTTTCAAAAAAATCTATCATTGACTTCAATGATTTTTTTTTGTTTTCTGATATCTTGCTTTCTAGGGCTAAAAGCTTCAAGTTTACGTTTCTTATATCGTTAATAGTTTTCTTTTTTTTTTTTGGAACTTTTATCTTGTGCGTAGGTTCGATATCGCTGAAAGAGTACTTTACCTGTACTACAGTGGGACTTTCTTTATCGATACAAATCATAACAGCCTTACTAATATTTAGTTTTTTAATGTCAATGAGGTTTTCCGCGGCCTCTTTAAGATCCCAGAATCCATAACATTCCATATCTATAATTTCAAAAGGCGGATGATATTTCGCAGATCTAATAACATCATGTAAATCTCGAGGAATCATGGCTTTCATTACTTTTTTGCGCTTTTCTATAAGCGCAAAATCACGGTCACATGACATAAAAGAATGTCCACTAACCAAAAATTTATGCTGAATATTTTCAAACACTCCATGAGTGACCAAAAATATAAACAAGAAAATCATAACTTTATTCTTATTTTGACCTGCGCAGTTGTCAGTCCAAAAGACAAGGCGTTTCTGTTCAACTAGAGAACTATTTAAAAATCTAAGTATACAAGAAGAAATCTCATTGCTTCCCCTTCCAGCCATTCCCTCGTTCCAGTTGCACATATATGCAGTGTTTGAGTTGCTACAATGGATTCCCAAGTTATAACAGCTAAGTTGACTCAAATTAAACATATCGCTGTGTGTTAAGGTAGGTACAAAAAGAACCTGTTGTAAATCTACCGACGAACAACATGTCTGAGCTCCAGGCAACTGTGATGCAGCCACATCCTCCTTCATTATGTTTATGGCTTGTTCCGATTTTCGATGATGAATCTCCAGTTTTTGACGTGCTTCTAGGATTGAGGATAGCTCTGTTTTTATTTCACATGTTAATTTGTCGCAAACTCTACATGTGTCACTCCTTGGTGGACGAAATTTTAAATTGGGAAATTCTTTTAGAAATACCTTGCGGTAGAAGCGAAATGAACAGTTTGAATCCGGATATTTTTCAATAAAAGCCTTATGTAATCGGTGTGTATTAAGTTCAGGACTGAGATATTCTTTAGTAGTTTGCGATCTCGAATAATGACTTTCTTGTCTGGGTAAAGAGGCAATATATTATATTTCGATCATCGTCGGTAAATTTTTTTAACTTATGAGATGTTCGGTTATCTTTAAAAGTAGTGTGCCCCAGCTTTTTCTTTCTTATTATTGTCTCAAGTTTCATTTTCGTCAATGAAAAAATGTCCATAAATGTTTGTTTGCAAACTCTTACCGTCTGCCCCGTTCCGTCAGGAATAGAATAAAAGACAGTACCTTGACGATGACTGTCCGCTGGATCCTCGTAGTTACCATGGCGTCTCCTTCTCACTGGTCCCAGGCTTAAAAGGTTCATAATAAAAGTTTCTTGTACGTTGGAAGTTTCATTGTAAAATATTTTGTGTAAATCTATCTTTCTTTCATAAGTAACATTTTTACAGGAATGGTAGCATTTACACGATACCTGAAATTAAAGAAAATATTATAGTTCTAAGTATTTAGGTATATTAAGGTAAGTATATTGTATAAATAAAATGTGATTTTATGAACCAACCCCTTTTGTATACCTTAATATACTACTTTATTCCATGCATTTAACTTACCTCTGGTTTAGGTTCTGCCTTTTTGGGTGTTGTTTTATTACGCCGAGTTTTATATTCCAGTCCTGCCACTTTTAATTTTTTTTGTTCATCCCTGAAGCGACCAGTACCTCGTTTTCTTTTATTATCCATCACAAAAAGTTAAAAACATCAAACACTTGTCCACTGAATTAAAGATTATTTTCCAATAATCAATAAATACTTCTGTGGCACTTAGATTATTTGTACTGAAACGTCATGTCATTTTTGAACCACGCCAACTTTACAATTTTTTTATAACCTTTCTAGTTAAGCTTGGCACTTAGCATTTTTGTGGGACATAACTAATGGTATATATATATAATGTTTGTATCGACAAATCTCAAAATTTAAAATTTTGGCACATAGCATGTTTGAACCGGACACCCTTCAAATAGTTTTCATAGTTTTTTCCAGATTTTTATATTTTACTCAAAAACGATGCATTTTCATAAAACATTTCACTGAACGTTTTTTGAAAAACAAAAGATTTTCTATCGATTATGTACTCATACATTTTTAGCCAAACTTCATATTTTTTGTCGCTAGAGCGGTTTTTCGCATTTTATGTAAAAACCACGCACTTTGGTGAAAAATTTTGCTGACGCAAAGTTGTAGAGTAAAAATTTTGCACATGCACAGTAGGTGAGAGTCGTTTTTTCAATAAAATATTTGAACGGGGCATTGCCCTTATATTTTTATTCTCCCGCTAAATCAGGGATTCCCAAAGTGGTCGGTACCGATCCCTTGGGGTCGAAATCGGTATCCCAGGCGTCGACATAAAACGAAAACTAATTTTGGGGGACGACAAGGTCTTATTTGAAACTTTCAAGATACTGTATAAGTTGTGTTACACGCAGAAGCGGCTCATGGCTTAGTCTACGAGGAGGCTATGGAGGCTACTTTTAAAAGGCACACCCTATATACTTAATACAAATATACATTTCTATTGGAATAGCAAAAGTAGATATATTACATTGTATCCTAAGAGAAATATATTGTATTAAGTATATAGGCCACGAGCCGCCTCTGGTTACGTGTACCAACTTATAAGAATGACTAATATTTTAGTAACAAGTGTAAATTAAAAATTTAAAAAAACCGACTTCAAAAACGTGTAGATGCCATCACAACATCTTAACCAAATTTATATGGGATCACCCCTGAGGTACCCCCTTACTGACAAAAAAAAATCATATAAATTGGACAAGGTAGTAAAGCATTATCGCTAAACATACATAAAAAATGAAGAGTTTGAAAATTTTCTCATGGACAAAATTTTTAGATTTTGACCAAATTTATATGGGACCACCCCTGAAGTAGCCCCTTTCTAACCAAAAAAGAATTATTGAAATCGGACACCGTGTTAAAGAATTATCGCTGAACATACATAAAAAAAAAAAAAAAAAAAAAAAAAAAAAAATCGCGACGATATGATAACCTCCTCCTTTTTTGAAGTCGGTTAAAAAGTATCATTATTGTACTTTTAAAAAACAAGTCGATAAGCGTGCACTAAAAAACTCAGCAAATTAATAAGCCTGGACAAGTTCGTGCAAAATAATGAGTTCGAGCGTTCAGGCACATTTTGACTTGTATACGCGATTTAACACAAAGGAAATCAAGATCAAGTCCAAACATGCTCCTGATATTTTACTATATAACACTTAGGTTAAAAGTAAATTTGTGTTTGGAAATTAGTTGTAGCTTGAATGATAATACACTCATCTACTAATTTATTTCAACAAAGTGATTACATAGTTAAATAAAGTGAATTGAAATAAAGTGAATTAAAATAAATTTACAAAGTACGCGCGTTAATAGCGTAACCATACATTTCTGCAGTTAATGAAAAAGTAACAGGGTAAGTACCAAATTACTTTAGAAAAGTTGTTATCTAAAATTATAAATGTTCAGTTTTCTTTGTTTTCGTTTTTTACTACAGTAACTATATCCAAGTTTATCAATGAGCATACCTAAAAAACATCCAGTGCCTAGGTGTGATAAAAATAAGCTAATGTGCAAATTTAACAGTTTTATTATTGTTTTTTAAGTAGTTTCATAAACATTTTTCTTTTGATTTGCAGGTTTACTGCGAGTTTTATGATGGAAGACACGAAAAAAATGCACACAATACTGTTTGGACTACTTGAAGTTTGGATTTATTTAATCTCTATCAAGTCAACATTTGCCGATGTGTCTCATATATGAAACAGTTTTTAATAAAAAAGCTATGAAGCATTCAAAAACGGAGGACCATTTATTAAGAGTACATGCTTAAAAATTTTCCAAGCACTTAAAGAAAAACTAGAGAAAATGCCATCCATAAGATCGATGTTTGCACCATCATCTATGCAATACGTTGATGGTTTACGAGCGTCTTATAATATATCTTTACTAGTAGCGAAGTCGGGGAAATCCCACAAAATTGGAGATCAGCTTATTTTACCAGCCATTGCGGAGGTCCTCACCAATGTATTCGTTTAAGCAATAACACCGTTCAGAGACGAGATGGGTCGAGACGTGGAAAATATTTTATGCAATTTCTTACAGACCAACAAATTCTCTCTTCAGTTGGATGAGTCTACATTACCTGGCAATGCAGGTATGTTGTTAAGATATGTTTGATATAATAAAGATAAATAATAGAGACTAAAACTAGAGCAGAATCGATTTTTTTCATGCCGTGGAACATTTTTTTATGGACAAAG